ATACTAAGTAGTTCCAGCGTTGACCGCTCGATAGCGCCGCTTACCCGCGCTAGAAAAAATCAGTCCGGGAACTTTCCGGACAAACTGTGTATCTTACATTTTGAATTTTGTATAATGTTTTTAATAAATTCTTTAAATGTACTCAAGTGTACTTGGTGCTACTTTTTCATATCACTTCATTTGTAGATTTTGTAGAAAAAGGATGTTTCATATTAAAAATAAATAATAAATAATAAATAATACATTTTTTTATAAATACTAGTTTGAGTTTAGAATTTTAATTTAAAGTATTACGTGTTGTGCGTGTACATGACGCACTGTTTTGCCTTTTTTAAAAAAGGTAAGTTTTTTTCAGATATTCTTTTTTGTAGCATATCTTTCACGTATATATTAAAATACAATACATTTAATATATTATTAAAATGACCGATCTCAGGAAGAAGAACAGAAAAGGATGGAGAATAAAAAATTGCAACTTTTCCCTGATAGGAAAACATTTACAAAATTATGTGACGAAATCTTGCACTAAAATTGTAATTTGCAATTATACAGATATAGTTTAGAAAATAGATGTAAAAACATTGATCTTTTATAAAAAAAAATATTTGTAGTTGTTTGCAAAATTATTCTTCAAATACTATTTTAACAAAAGAATAACGATATTTCGAATCATCTTAGCAATATATTTGCAAAATTAATTTCAAAAAGAAATTGTCCAATAATTGAGAAAAAAATTTTAGCTATGTGATGTTTAAAATATGTAGAAATATTATTGCGTATGAAGAAATGCAAGAAATCGTCATCACTCATGATGTCATATTTGTACAATATTTTCACAATTTGCCTATTGGAGATATATACTGTGGAAATGCATACTGACTTTTTCTCAATTTTTGACAAATATTATTTACCAAATTTAATTTCGACAAAACTGTTGCGTTATGGCAAATCATTTTAGTGCAATCATTGCAGAATCGTCGTTATTCATGATGCCAGTTTTGTGCAATATCTTCACAATTTGCCTATTAGGGCATACATCATACACGTGATTGATAAGAAAATAACACTTTAGCAAGCAGCATCAGAATTTAAGGAGTATAGTCAGGTGTCATCTCTTTTTATATTATCATTTAATATTTTATTTGAGGGACAATTGTTTAAAAATAAAAAGTATTATTTTAGATATATTTTAATAAGTGTTTACAAAAACGGACCCAGCCTTGATAAGCTTCCGACAACATTTTGTCAAATAAAAAGTTGTCCTTGTATTTAGTCAAAAATACGCATTTTCAAGGATAACAGGTTGTTCTGAATCATTTTGTATAGTAAAAATAGTAAAAGTAAGATAATATTTTTATTTCTGAGCAATAAATTATGAGCAGCAGACAGCTGCTAGCAAAGAAAAATGTTATCTACATATAGTGAATACTTTTTTTTTACTTACATAGAAGAAAATAATCATATTTATCGCGGAGAGCAGAGGCTTCTCATCTTCCCTCAAGCGGTGCTCGCTTCGCTACAAACCGCCGAATACAGATATATGCCAGATGTGTGCCATTAATCTTATACTGACAATCATACACGCCTACAGAATCAGGACCATCGCTTTCCACGCGCTCATTGGTTCACATTTAGTAATTCATATCTCACTAACTATTGCGAATTTCGCAAAATGGCAAACAACTTTTCAATTCAATTTCACTCACTCTATCTCCATACTTCAGCTGTGTCAAAATTTCATGGACACTTTGTATATACAGAGTGTCCCAGAATTGATGTAACACTTCTCGTGAACAAATAGAAGGAGTACAACTGAGTCGATAAGTCCTATACAATTTTGCTAGATTTGCAATAGTTACCGAGATTTTAATTAACAAAGTTCAGCGAATAAGCATGCATCGGGCTGTCTTACTCGCTTAAGACAGCCCAGTTCGCTTCGCGCGCTTACGGTGTTACTTCTAGCAGCATATGGGAGGAGCTAATATAACAGCATATACTACAATATATACATATTAAAATGTAATTGTGCAAAGCGCGCCGGGCTGTCCTCCACGCGTTAGATAGCCTGATGCACGCTTATTCGCGGATCTTTATTAATTAAAATTTCGGTAATTATTGCGAATCTAGCAAAATGGTATAGGACTTATCGACTTAGTTTTACTTCTTCTACCTGTCTACGAGAGATTTTACACTAATTGTTGGACACCCTGTATATACATATATGTATACAATGTATGTATATATGTTTTAATGTTATTGCTTTTAGAGATATTGAAATGAAAGAAATATAAACTTGATGAAAAGTAACAAAAGAATTTTATTTTGTAAATGCTCATTTTATTATATGTAATAATTCTGTAATAATAATATTGTTTATCTTATAATACAACTCGATATAGTTTTATTTCTACATACAGTTTTAACATTTATATATAATTTTATTGTGTTTTTTTGGTATTTACCAAATGCTCTATTCATATACGTGCAGGTTGCTATACTTAAATATATCGTAATATCGTTATGTACTAAAAATTATTGTATTAAAAACTGGATTTTATTTTATGAACATCATGCTCGCATTATTAAATATATTAAAATCAGTACAATATTTCCGATTTTAATTATAATTAATAAGAATTTTTGTGTCATAAAATAAAATTACACTTTTTATATAAAAGTAACTCTAGTTTTAAACGCACTAAAATGCCCTGTTTGTTTAAATGAAATTGCACTAAATTGTAAAAAGTAACCTTAGTTTTCCTTGCTTTTGTACTTAAGTATATCGTAAACTTTACGAAAACTGTCATAATGCTACATTGCACTTAAAAATTTCCGACGAGATTGAGCTTTTTTTATAATGACGTCCAGCAAGAATATTGCCTAAAAACAATTACAAAATTTATTTATCATAATACATTTTGTATAGTTTTGCATAAATGTTTAGAACATAAATTATATAAAGTAACAAACAAAACCAAAGTAACAGTTTTGTATAAACATATTTTAAATTTAAACAAAAAAACAACAAACATAGATACAAAACTAAATACTATTAAAATCTTGATTAAAAAAATCAAAATACTATTTCGCATATTTTACAAAATCAAAATATACCTTGTTTTTTGTGTAATCGTGGTTTAGCAGTTCTACAAAGAGCAATTTGGTGTCGGTGATCTAAAAAAATCATATGATACTACTATTGAATGTAATGTGGAAAACTCATTACCATGATATTCTTTAAGTATATTACGCTATAGATTACTAATATAATTATAATAATATCTTTATGCATATTAATACATATTCATAAAAAAGAGAAATATTTTACATTTATACCACAAGTAAACGATTATGTTCACACAACGTTACCTTTTCAAGACCTTCATTTGAATATATGTGATTAATACGAAAACTCATAACTGCAAGTATGCTTATGTTTCTTTCAAATGGTGCATACATACTAAATAATTAGTACAAAAATATGTTAGTAAAATGACAATATTCTTACAAGATGACATGAAAAATAATGTATCAATTAAATACATGTAATATTGGAATGCTGATTATGTACAATAGATTATATGTAAATATACAACTCTAATTGGGAAATTGTAAAAATATTGCACAAAAATGGCATCATGAATAAGGACAATGATTGCAAGATAATTTGCAATAACGCAACAGTTTTGTCAAAATACAATTTTGTAACTAATTTTGTCAAAAATCAGAAAAAAGTCGTTATGCATTTTCATAAGTATATACAAGAATTAATTTGATTTCTTCATATGCAATTATATTTCTCTACATGACTTAAACATGACATAACTGAAATATTTTTCTCAACGATTGGACAATTTCTTTTTGAAATTAATTTTGCAAATATACTGTTAAGATGATTCGCCATATCGTTATTGTTTTGCCCGAAACGTATTTAGAAATTAATTTTGCATACAGTTACAAATATTTTATACAAAATCAATATCTTTACATTTCTTTCTCACGATATATCTATATAACTGCAAATCAAAAGTTTCATGCAAAAGATTTTGTCACATAATAAATGTTTTCTTATCGGAGAATATGTATATATAAAACAAAAATATACAATTTTATATAGATAACTCTGTTTACCTTGAAAATTTATCTTGTGTTTTGCTTATTATAATATTAGGTAAACAACAATCTTCTACATGTCTTGCAACAATATCGAAAAATATGGTAACGGAATCACTTTCTTTTATTAAATTATGTTTTAGTGCAAAACGCAAAGATTCCAAACTATGATTGAGTCCAGAACAAGAGAAAAGATGAAAGAAGTGTTGGTGTTTCTCTTGTGACAAATAAATGTCCTGTATTTTATGCCACAACATCTTATCAGTTATAAGTTTTACCATCAATCCTTGGCAATACATCCAGTTCTGCCAACTTGGCAAAAGTCTGCAAATACTTACAAAAATGTATAATTCTACTCACACAATTGTCATTCAAGTTGTGTTACTTTTCTTATGATATCGTAACGACGTATCAACACTCATATCACAGTTGCAATATCGTACATTATAATCGTAGAAGCAAGGCGTCTTTTCGACGTCTTATTCAAACATCTTTATATAAAAATATATGTAAGTATAATGTATACATCTATATATTTTATATAACCAATTGTAACAATGATTAGAAAATAATTTACTCGCAAGTATCTCGTGTTTTTACAAACTCATAATACTGTATCAAGTTTCAGGTAATGATTTGGTAATATTATATATAATATATTAACAGCAAAGTAACGTTATACAGACGAGAAATAGAAAATCGTACCTGTATTGTACAGGATTTTTTAAATGCCACTGTAATATAGCATTGACATGTTCTTTGCACTTTAAGCCACCAAGAATGCACGTCCATTTTAAAACTTCGTGATATACTTGATTACTGACAGTATTCTCGGAAACATTTTTATGTGATATATCATCCAGAAAACTATTCAATATTTCCAGAACTTTACTCTATAAAAAAAAGTGTAAGGTGTATTAATGTATTTTGATAATTCCATAACTCGTAAGTGTACTCAAAAGATGTGTATTTAAGAATCATTGCATATTAATTATTGTTTTATAAAGTTACTTTACTAGTTACTTTTGTAAATTACTTTATACTGTTTTTTTTGTCAGGTGATCAAAGACAATTGCAGAAGGAAACGAAACTTATAAACTGTATATTATAAAACTAGTTGAGTGAAAGTTTCTTTTATTTAGTTGCTGAGTAGGATTTTTTACTTTTGTTCTTTTTTAATGCACTGGAAAAATACGTACCTTGATCTTTGCGCTTTCCGGTAATGGAAAAATCTTTGATACGTATTGAAGAGTTGTAAATATGGAATGCCACACTATGTACGAATTCTTTACGCGAACTACATTGCTTGCAAGATTGAAAAATATGTCTAAATTTTCACTATTTGCAGCAGGAGGTACAAAATACTTTGTATTTTGTATTAAAAAATAAAAAGCATCGTCGAGAATTTGTGCTAAAGTGACGTCAGTTAAATTAGATGCATTCCAAATCTCAGATTTTTCACTTTTTAGGAAGAGAGCAATATTTTCCAAAGATTTACGATCATAGTTGACACGATATCCTACACCAATTTGTTTATACATAAATATTTATAAAATAAACAAAAAACATCAAAAACGAAAACAATAGAAAAAATTAGGTAAAGTAAAAAAATTAGTGAAAACATTAAATATACTATTTACAGAATACATAGAATATAACAAAGTTTTTTTGATTGTATTACCATTGTGCGCTGTGATTATGATAAAATCATCTTCTTTAATATACGGAACTAAGATACTTATTCCGTTTGGTTTCAGGTACACATAATTAGTACTAGACGCCTTTCTTAATATTTGTACATAGATTACAGGTATCCACCACTTGTATGCACATATGTCTTTTTCTTTATTCGTAACACAATCTCGAATCATAATTTCTAGAAATTGTGTATCATTGTTCCGGATTACTTGTACCACAGGATAACCATCGTGTGTCATCCATGACTTTATCACATATGTTAAATTTATACTTCCTAAATACATATTTTTATTTATGATCGGCTCCAACATTAAATTGTTCCATATAATCTCGAGAGTAGACTGGTCATTTAATGTCTCACTTGATGTACTAGTATTAATGACAACAGATAGCAAAACAAAAAATATATTGGTGTTAAATGTCTTAAACGTAATAAATATTTAAAGATGTTTTCACGTTACGTATAAAATCATGCTTAAACCCACACTTTCTCTCTTTAATCAGTGCTTTACAAATGTATAATACTTACGTGTTATATAATTTTATTGCGTTCTCAAAAATAAAGTTGTATACTACATCTTGATTACGGAATAAGCTACTAATCATATAGAAAATAGTGAATGCTAAAACATAATTCCGAATGTGTAAACGTTATTCAATTATAATCACAAGACTATGTAAATAATTGTTGATAAATGCATACAATGAAAACTGGATGACTCTAATTTATAATTCGATGATGTATTCGCAAACATTATAATGTATATTTTTATTCTTTGTATATCTATGAGATATATAAACGTAGGGTTTATATTGTTACGCAAATTTTTAAGCACACAATTAAAAGTTGTAAATATCGTTTTTCCTTACTTTTTTCTCTCCACATTTTACTAAAAGTTATGTTGTGAAAAAGTCGATTTTCTTGTAGTGGTAAATCATATTCAATAAAAGCTTGTGTATATTCAAAAACCATTCGTCGTGTCTGTACCACAATCGACATCAGTAAAGTCTCACTGTAAATCTACCAAAAGTTTACATGATTACGCATATGTATATTTTAGCTTCGTTATTTCTTTTTAGGTGAACTTAGTAATACAAAGGTATAGTGCTAAATTTTTGGTATCAAGTATAGAAATCCTTCTAGTATAGTCAAGAATGTTTGTGTATAATGTAAACATTAAAAACGCAATGTGACAATAACATCTTTTACCAAAATGTCTGAAATCACTACATAATACAAACTATTATTCTTCTTTTTCGGTTTGCATTAAATATCTTTGTGAAAATTATGTGATCATATAGGATTATATGTGAATCAGATAAAATTTTGTATGATTGTGTGAACTTTTATATAAGTTAAATATGATTTTACATAAGGTGGATATTATTTTCTGTAATCGTGTAAAATGAGATCCGAAATTTGGCGCGATCTGATTTTATATGATCTTATATAAATATAAGCAATCATATACTATCGTACATAATGTTGTGTATTTATATGATCATATAAAATCAGATCGCGCCAAATGTTGGATCTGATATTACGCGATCGCATAAAATCATATTTGACTTAAATAAAACATTATACAATCTTACAAACTTACATCCAATTTACATATAATCCTACATGTGATTACATGATTTTTCAGTTTTTCTCAAGGTGTAAAAGCTACAGATTTACAAATGCAAGTATTACCTGATCGACTAAATAAACTCCGTAAAATGTCAAAAATCCTTCGATAAACCAAGAATCAGACTGTTTAAGTGTAAGTAACCAATTACTGAATGCTTCTTGTATCACACTGCGTGCAACCAAACATGTTACTTCTATTTTTCTTTTAAACGAATCACTTTCTTTATTGTATGCAATATCAGCGTCTCTAAAAATAGTAGTGTTGTTAATGCATTTCTGTCGTTCACATCATGTGGATATATTTGTTGGAAGCTAAGTTTTTGAGTAATATATCTTACCTAAAAAGGACAAGTCCAGTAGCTACTATAGTTTCGTAGCTGTAGGTTGTTGAAAGTGCTATATACTGCACGTGTGAGATTGGTGTAACGTCTCTTTTCTTGCATCTAATAAAACTAGTAATATGACGTATAAGACGTTGTGCGTATGAAATGTCATTTTCCACTTGTACTCTGCTGTGTATGCTAAGTGTATTTGACATGAAGGTAAAGTTGGTGCATTCAGAAGGTACGACTACTGTTGCTACGGCACGAGTGGATATTAAAGGTGTACGGAATAAAGTATATGTATAAACTTGAGATTTTTCCACTAGTTTATCACGTATATTTGAAAGAGCTGTTTCACTACTGGTATGCTTGATTCGAATAGTAAATGTGGCCTTAGTTGCGAGGTTTTCCCAACATGGAAATATCCATTCAGCGGGAATACGCGGTAATATCAAATATCTATAGAATGTAAAACGTTGTTGTTCTTAGTAATTTGTTCCTTAAAAACTTTATAACTCTTATTGCAACAGTACAAAAAAATAAATAATTTCTGCATTAGTTTTTAATGCACTTACTTTTTTATTTTAGTTTCATAAATAAAAGGATAAATTCTCATAACTTTATTTAAACTGCAATTATATTTTGCAGATATCCACAATCTACTTCCATTTACTATTGGTTGTTGTATTCTAAAATGTTTTCTATTATAATTGAAACTGATGTTCAATGTTTTGAATTGATCGTCCGGAAATAATGGCAAAACTTTTGTTTCCCAAAATAAAGATGGAAAATTAAAAGAATCAGTCATGATGTTAATTTTCGGTTGTTCACAGTAACGTCCGAAATAAACTTTTATGTTTTGCAGTGGACAGTGAACGTTCAATGTAACAAGAGAATCAACAATCAGAGAATTTTTTTGTATTTCCGCAGAAATATTCAGAATATATTCCCTCGGTTCTATACAGTTCGGAGAAACATTCTCATCTGCAGAAGAAGTAATTCCATTGACACATAAGAGACATAGAGTTCCAAGAACTGTAAGCATCTGTGTAGTTAGTATCTATAAAATAATTTTGTACAAGTATTGTATAATTTTGAACAAGAAAAACACATGTTATTAAAATCACAATTATAACAAAAAGTATTATAGAAAAGAATTATTAATTGCTGTTTTAAATACATAAATGTCAAATATGATTGTACGCAAGTATGTATCTTTCTTTTTGCGAATAGTTTTTATTAACAACTTTTGAACTCTATAAAATATTAAGCATAAAAGTATGTGTTTCTTAAAAAATATTTTACAGCGTCTTTATTTCTAGCACACACACGACATTATTTGTTATTGTTGTATGTCTTATCCGACATACAAAATTAAAAACACAGAAGTACAGATTATGTTAACAACAAATTCGATATTCACTTAATAAAATTAATTTCGAGAAAACTGTTTAAGTTTTTTATAATTTATTTTAAATGAGATAAGTTGAATATTAAGACACTGAAGAAAAAGTATTACTGCATCGTAACAATATATACAAATAACAAGAAATATAGGCCTTACGAGACTTTCGCAGGATGTTTGAACGGAAACTGTACGTGTACATATATACCTATACATGTAACAAATTCAACTTGTAAATGTTTTACAAGTAGCTTGTTATTAATTTCAACGAAACTTAAGTCATAATTGTTTAATATATACCAATTATTATATGCTAATAACCAATTACTATATACCACTTACTATATGCTAATATTCAAAATTGTTTAACTACATACTTAGTTTTAATTTACATTAACTATATAGACAAAGTAAAGATTTCGAAGTCAATAGTCCACTGGTGATGGTTGGTGAAAGAAAGATTTCATTCGTTTGTTTTCGCACACTCATATTTATGTTGTTTGTGTGACTTTTCTTGACATGACTGTTGACATGTAATCAGTGTCTTTTGAAAATGTAATGTACGTTACACATTTCTATAAATATTATCATAATTTTTGTGATTATTTTGATCTTTACTTTGTAAAGTAGATTTTGCTTCACTTTGTTTATGGTTTAATAGTTTTAATATATTTATATGCGTAGTTTTCTCATGTTTCTTTTAAACGTTTGTAGATTCTAAACAAAGTAACCTTATATATTTCTTACTTTGCACATATTAGAATTGGCTGATGATGATTGCAAAAATAAAAGTGATCAAAAAGTTTTTATCGTTACTTTATAAACACAAATTTTTCTTTTACCTACTACCACCTGTAGACTGCAGCTTTAAAGTTCTTTCTTTCTCTTTTTCTCTCTGTTTTCTCGTATTTTATCTATTACATTTATTTTTAAGCTTTTTCAACCACTTAATCATTAACACTATAATATGCTTTGTTGAGATAACAGGTCTATGTTATTTCATTTTCTATGGTTTGTTTTGTGTTTGGTTCAATACAAAATTTATAGTATTCTTTAACATACAAGAAGCAATTTTTATTCTACAAAAAATAGCTTAATGACTTACCATCTTTTGTATAGTGATATTCAATGCATTGAAGTATAAATCTTGCAAAAAAAAGTGCAAACTGGTAATCAAACAAGATCGAAAGCGTATCTCGTGATTGTATCTGCGCGTTCTCGCCTCTTCGAGAAATTTTGGATAACTAAAGAGCAGTCCTTTCTGTGAAATAATGAATACACACCACGATGGGTAAGTTTTACGTGCCGTTCGCAAAGCTCGTGAGCGTTATCTATCTTTGTTTACTTTTCGATGAGAAATAAGGATAAAATGATTCTATGAGAGTTGCGAACGGCAAGTGGAAGTTACTTGATGTAAACGTATGTGTGGGGGTAGAGCATAGACTTATACAGGATGTCTGACAATCACTTTAACATCTCTCGTAGGCAGATAGAAGGAGTACAACTGAGTCGAAAATTTCTGAATCAGTTTTTCCAATAACTTATAATAAAGGTGTAATTAGAGTGAATAAATCAAGCCAATCAGCGCCGACCGTTAGCCGAACGCACTTCAGTGAACCACACGTCTGGTGTGCGTGAGCGCTCCGCGTGGCTCACTGACGTGAGCCCAGCTAAATGTCAGCGCTGATTGGCTTGATTTATTCAATAATTACTTTTTTATTATATGTAATAGAAAAAAATGGTTCAGGACTTTTTGACTCAGTTTTACTCCTTCTACCTGCCTACGAGAAATGTTAAAGTAATTGTCGGACACCCTGTATAATAAACGGTACATTTGTGTAAGAAGAGCTAAAGCTTCGTTCAGTCTCAAAAGAGACAGAAATAGTCGTGGAGTAGTTCTCTTCTTTTCTAGCAGTGAGTTGATTGGTGGCCGCGGCAGGTCGAGGAAGTGGCCGAGAGTAACGAAGATAGACGTCTGACTGAGAGTGTGTTGAGAGAGAGTGATAGTGAGAGGTGATAGCATGCATGTAGCAGGTATAGACTTGTTGAGAAACTTGGCAGGCGCTAACAATTAACACTAACAATTCATAAATCTTTTTATAATTTAATTTCTTTCATACTTCTATAGAATTTAAGTTAACATATTTTTTAACGGAAATTTTCTATAAATTAAGCTATCTTTACATAACAACAGTTGTTTATGCTTTAGTGTAACCAACTGTTGTTGTTTCTCTTTATAAACATAAATAAATTAATAAAAAAATTATATCCGCACAAGACTCGAACCTTTATAACCACTCGAGCAAACAAGTCAAAAGTAATGGCCTTTTGTGTTTAAGGCCTGGTTTATGGGAACAATAACTGTTAACTTATGCCGGAACCGGTAGAGTTTACCTATAGGATTTCACTGCTTCTGTTTATATAAAATTGCCGAATGCGTATAAACAGAAGTATTAGAATCTTATAGCTAAACTCCACCGGTTCCGGCATAAGTTAACAGTTATTGTCCGCATAAACCAGGCCTAACTACTCCATGGTTAAATAAAACATGTGTGACTATTTGTGATTGGTCGACCGCGTGACTTTTGATTTCCCGGTGAAGATACTGCTGATTATTGTGTTCTTTCGGATGGCACGTGCATGCTCACGTCTACGGGCTCGTTCGGTCTTTATAACTTGTTGATTACGCATCGGCGCGCAATATACAATAATTATTATTTACTTCAGATTCGACAAGAGTCAATGGAACAAAAGAGTAAAATGTACGTGCTCGTAATATTCTTCATTAGATAGATCCGACTTTTATATTGCTGAAATTACTTGGATGTGTAAAATCAATACTAAAAGTTATGTAAATTAGAATACAATTATGACTTTCTGAGAAAACATAGAAATTATGATCATATACGATTATATGTAAGGAATCAGATAACGCAAAATTTTGGATCTAATGTTATATGATCATACACGATTTTCTATATTTATATACGATCATATAAAATCAGATCGAGCCAAATTTTGAATTTGATTGTTTAGGATCACACAAAATCATATCCAACGTATATAAAATCATATTCGAATTATATAGAAGTGTATACAATCATACAAATTTGCATCTGATTCACATACAATTCTATATGATCACATGAGTTTCCATTTTTTCTATAGTTTGTATCTATAAATATATGGTGTATTGTAAACAAAAAATTTAAGTGCAAATTAAACCGCAAGTATGACAAGAAGTTATTATACCAAAAGTAAAACCTTTTGGCTTATTTTAATATATAAATGACAATCATAAATGAATGTGACCGATATGCGTAAATTTTTTTATATAACAATTTAGAAAGCTCTTGATAACTCAGCATATGGGTGCATGTTTATCAATAATCTACGATGTCTGTAGTTTTACGATACATATTCTGTGTCGATTTATTTAGATCTAAGCAAATCTATACAGATCTGAGATAATCTACTTGTACGTATATCTATAGTAGATCTAAGTAAATTTAACGTAGATCTACTAAGAAATAAAAGTGTAAATTTACATACACTTAGTTATATTTATATAAATCTAATTTCTATCTATTTAGATGTACTTTGTATCTCTCTCTCTCTATTTAGATATAATTTATATTTATTTGGATTTAATTTAGATTTAATCTAAATAATTTAGATCTAATTTAATTTTTCACGAGTAAGATTGTAAGCAATTCTTCTTCAAATTTTACGATTTCGACTAAAATTGTGTCACGTGCAATGGCCTTAAATGCAAAAGCATACATTGCGTATTATTTACTGTTTTATCGCAAATCTCTAGTATTTAAAAAGGTATTGCAAATAGTTTGGGTAGTCGAAAAAAAATATATTGCATACAAATCTTTCTACATAGATTTACTTGAGAATATTGCGTATTCCTAAAAAGTGCGAAATTTTTAAAAACTAACAAGCAAACTTTAGTTTGCAAATACAATTTTTATTATAATTAAGTATGTAAATAATATTTCTTTGGAAACACACATATCAATTAATGAAAAGGAAAGAATAAATTATTACAGTAAATTAAAACTAAAGTATCATTTCTAGTTTTTTAAAGATATACAAAGAAATAGTAATTGTTTGAATAAGTAACATCACGAAAAAAATTGGAAATTCATGTGATCATAGAGAATTATATGTGGATCGGATGTACTTTTGTATGATCGTAAATATTTATATAAGTCAAATATGATTTTATATAAGTTAGATATGATTTTATGTGATTGTGTAAAATCAGATCCGAAATTTGGCGCAATCTGATTTTATATAATCATCAAGAGGCACGGTAGTGCCTCGCGCCAAGTTCACGCGCAACTACGGTGCACACTAACTGCACGAGCACGCTGTTATATAAATATATAAAATTATGTACGATAGTATATGATTTTTTATATGTATATATGATTATATAAAATCAGGTCGCGCCAAACTTCAGATCTCATTTTACAGTATCACATAAAATCATATCCAACTTATATAAAATCATATTCGATTTATATAAAAGTTTACACGATCATACAAAAGTGCATCCGATCCACATATAATCTTATATGATCACATGATTTTCCATTTTTTCTCGGGATAGCTCGATATACATATATAACACTGTTTGATACAGAGTATTGTCTTCTTTCCTTTACATTTTACAGTTTTATACCTTAATATCGTGTTTTTCAGAAAGCGTATGCTAAGTATTCATGTCTGCGCAAATGGTTATATTAAAAGTTATACATAGTAACAATTGTGTAAGATAAATATCAGTATATTATTATTCATCTTATTAAAAACTCGAATGTATTTTATGACCACTTTGCAAATTATTAAAATCCATATCTTATAGATCTGATTTTTAACATAATTCATAAATACCTATTAGTGTCATAAAATAAATTGAGGTTTCTTATACAAAACCACACACACACACTAACTCTAGTATTCGACGTATTACATGAATACTTTTTATTTAATTAAAACTGTAGACTATTATACTAAAAAATTTTATGTAGTCATAGAACTAAATAATTCGTGCGGTTAGTAGAAAATGTTTATCAGTTTCTTTAAAACATTTTCATTCTAGTTAACATCCTACGACGACTCTTAACTTTCTCTCTAATTTTGACAAGTATTACCTACAAAAAACAAACTACAGTTACAATAACATCTTGTATCATACTTTTGCATAAGTCTGAGAACGTTAAAAAATACACTTTTGTAAAACAAACAAAAATATAGCCAAAAAACCCAGTTTATTTATAAGATAAACATAAATTTTGATTTAAACAAGTAGATAGCAATGCACAAAGAAAAATTATTTAGAATTTATATTTTTATATTTATAAAAACTTTTTTACCTTCTCCATATTAGATATGTTACTCAGTTCTTCAAAACACAAGTCTATAATCTGAAAAAACTTAAGTTAGTAACATTGAATTTGATAACTGATATTACGCAAAATTCTTATACAGTACATATATTTTTTTAATATGCGAAACAAAATTAAAGGTATATAAAATATTATACTATTATACTTGTAATACACACGCATGCTTATACATATGTATATCTATATGATTTATGGTTTACATTTACAAGTAACAAAAAACAATTATGTTCGTATATCATACCTTTTCAAGATTTTCTTCTAAATAAGTGTTGTTAATAATAAAAGTGACCAGTGCAAATAGATTGTCTGTGATAGATTGTCTACAAAAAAAGAACAAATAGATACTTTGTGAATGAAATTTTTATGTATATACAACATATTCTTACACATGATAATAAAACAATATATATCATGTAAATAATGATAAATAAATATACAGACTACATAGAATATATTTTATATTATTTATTTGTACAGTATAAATATAAACACTTTTAGATACAGAACATTCTTTACCTTGCAACACGTCTTATTTTGTGTATTATACTTTTCAATAATGTAACATTTTTTGAATATTTTGCTATACTACTGAGTAGAATATTAATAAACGTCCGTTTGTTTTGTAGATTAACCAAACGTAAAGATTGCAAAATATTATGCCCAGAACAAGGTGACAATTCAAACATTTCTCCTAAGTTTCGCTGGGTTACATATATTTTCTCTATGTTTTGCCACAAATCAGACGTATAAGTACCATTTTCTAAAATTAAACCTTGACAGTATATCCATTTCTGCCAACTTGGCAAAAGTCTGGAAATATTAACAAACATATATAATTCTACTTACACACGTATCACTCAAATAATTTTAGTTTTTTCTTTTTATATTGTAATGATGTATACAACTCATGTCACATTTTAAATTATGTTTATTATAACCATAGAAGCAAAATGTCTTTTGACGTCATATTCATTTAAATTTTTATGTAAGTGTATACTTGTAATTTACAAATTTATGTATTTTCTAATATGTATTTACTATAAATTTATGGAATTCTATGTAAAAAATAATTCATTTGCGAATGTCTATTGTCATTACAATATTATAATATCACCACTCAAGTTACAGTTCTATAATACTATGTGCGATGTATAAAAAGCACAGTTATATACAACGGTATAGTGACGTCACTGTGAGAGAAATATAAAAACATATCTGTGATGTACAGGATTTTCTAAATGCCAATGTAATATAGCATTAACATGATCTTTGCATTTTAAGCCACCAAGAGTGCATGTCCATTTTAAAACTTCGTGATATACTTGATTACTGACAGTATTTTCAAAAACATTTTTATGTGATGTAGTTAAAAAAAAACTATTTAATATTTCTAGGATTTTATTCTATAGAAAAAGTGTAGCGTGTATTAATATATTTCGATTACTCTGTAAATCCTTAGTAAATTAAAAAAATGTTTATTTAAGCATCATCGCATATTAATTATTGTTTTGTAAAATTACTTTACTAGGTACTTTTCTAATTTATTTTATCCGTTTTAGTGCCACGCAGCGCGATCGCGCTGTTCGCGTGCTGTAAGAAACTGTATCGCGATGTTCGATCGCGATCGGCAGTTAGCAACGCTCTCGGTTTGGAGTGTACCTTGTCGCGAGTCTGTCAGACTTCCCTCTCGTAATTATTAAAAAATATGAAGCGCGAACGCGCCGCGTGGCATTTTTCGACGAAAAAAAGGAGCAGCGCGACCGCGTCGATCGGCATTACTCGCAGATAAATGAAGGAAGCGCTATCGCGCTTCATGGCACAATCCGACACGGATTTTTAAAAACCCCTGGCACTAAAACGGTTATAGTATGTGTTCTGTTGTCAGTTGATCAAAGACGACTGCAGAAGAAAACGTAACGTATAAACTGTATAGTATAAAACTAGTTCACTGAAAGTTTCTTTCATTTAGTTGCTGATTAGGATTTTTTACTTTTGATCTTTCTTAATGCACTGGAAAAATATGTACCTTGATCTTAGCATTTTCCGGTAATGGCAAAATCTTTGATATATATTGAAGAGTTGTAAATATGGAATGCCACAGTATGTACGAATTCTTTCCGCGAACTACATTGCTTACAAGATTAAAAAATATGTCTATATTTTCAATATTTGCAGCACGAGGTACAGTATACTTTGTATTTTGTATTAAAAAATAAAAAGCATCGTCAAGAATCTGTGCTAAAGTGACGTCAGTTAAATTAAATGCATTCTCAGAGTTTTCACTTTTTAGGAAGAGAGCAATATTTTCTAAAGATTTACGATCATAGTTGACACGATAACCTACAAATAAATGTTTGAATAAACACATTACAAATACAAGAAATTAAGAAAAAGAAAAACAAGAAAAATAAAGCAACCAAAGCATAAATGTTACGATGGTAAAACTTTCAAATATACTGTAGAGACTAAACAAAACATTACAGTCCTACTTTCTTTATATTGTATTACCATTTGGCTCCGTGATTATGATAAAATCATTTTCTTCAATACTCGCAAGAAAAATACTTGTTCCGTCTGGTATTAGGTACATATAATTAGTAGTAAACGTTTTTCTTGATAATTTTACGTAGATTATAGGTATCCACCACTTGTATGCACACATGTTCTTTTGTNTAANCGTAACACAATCTTGAATCATAATTTCTAGAAATTGTGTATCATTTTCTCGTTTTACTTGTACTACAGGATAACCATATTGTGTTATCCATGAAGTTATCACATTTGTTATATTTATATTCTTCAAATACATGTTGTTATATATGGATGGCACAAACGTTATATTGTTCCATATACTATCAAGAGTAAAATGTTCCTTATATGTTTGACTTGATGTACTACTATTGGTAACAACAGATAACAAACCAAAAATTACATCGATTTTAGGTGTCTTAAACGTATTGAATATTTGAAGAAGTTTCCACGTTACGTAGAATATTATGCTTAAACGCACAATTTTTTATTTTAATGATTAATTTATAATATAACTCTAATACTCACGTGTTATACAAATTTATCGCTTTCTCAAAAATAAAGTCGTTTAGAACATTTTTGATACTGAATAAGTTATTCATCATATAGAAAATATTAAATCCTATAACATAAAGTGATAGTTGGATTATTTTATTTGAGTTTTAAATAACAATTTTTCTTACCTCTCTCTTTCCACATTTTATCAAAAGTTTCGTTTTTGAGAAATGGATTATCTTGTATTAAATAATAATATTCAGTAAATGCTTGTGTATATTCAAAAACCATTCGTCGTGTCTGAACCACAATCGACATCAGTAAAGTCTCATTGTAAATCTACCAAAAACTTATATAATTATACATATGTCTAGTTTAGCTTTGTTAATTCTTTTTAGGAGAACTTAGTATTACTAATTTGTATTACTAAATTTTTGGTATCAAGTATAAAAATCCTTCTATAAGCAAATTATTATTACTAACATTAGCCAAGAAGTTTTGTGTGTAAACATTATAAAAGCAATGTGACAATAACATCTTTTACCAAAATGTCTAAAATCACTACATAATACATATTATTCTTCTCTCTCGGTGTGCAGTAAACATCTATGGTATATATACCAGGTCTATACATATGAAACCGGTATTTTTTTCAATAAAAAACACATTAATTTTAAGTGAATGGTAACAAATATTTTATTCAAAGTATGCGCCCTCGCTGGCTACACATTTTGTCCACCTCTCAGGCAATTTATGGATACCTTGCCAAAAAAAGTCTTTGTTTTTTGAAGCAAACCAGTCATCGAGCCATTTTTCAACATTTCCTCAAGAAATGAAGCGCTGTTCGCTAAGTGCGTGTCCCATCGATGCAAACAAGTGGTAGTCGGATGGAGCCAAGTCTGGTGAGTAAGCGGGGTGGGGTAGCGGTTGCCAGCTGTACGACTCAACCAATTCCCGAGTCTGTTTTGTTCGGTGTGATGGTGCATTGTCATCGAAAAAAATCACTTTGTCATGCCTAGTTTCATATTCTGGGCGTTTTTGGCGCAGAGCACGGTTCAAATTGGCCAATTGTTGTTGGTAGCGTTGAGCATTACCAGTTTCGCCCGGTTCCAGAAGCTCATACCAGATTACACCACGCTGATCCCAGAAAACACAGAGCATTGTCTTTTTTCCGAAGCGATTTGGTCTTGGGGACGATTGTGCTGGTTGGCCAGGGTCCACATACGATCTTTTGCGTTTGGGAAATATATCCACTTTTCATCGCCAGTAACTATCCGATGCAAAAACGACTTTCTTTTTTGTCTGGCGAGCAGCATTTCACATGTTGTTTTTTAATTTTTCTGCTGCCTGTCGTTCAGCTCATGTGGCACCCATCTTCCGATTTTCAGGATCTTTCCCATGGCTTTCAAACGTCTGGAAATGGTTGCCTTGGACACATTAAGTTGTTCTGCGAGCTGTGTTTGTGTCTGACCATCGTCTTCATCCAGCAAAGCCTGCAATTCGACGTCCTCAAACGATTTCGCTGGTTTGCCGCGGTCCGCGTTTCTCACATCGAAATTACCACTTTTAAACTTGTTGAACCACTCATTACACTGCGTCCGACCAAGAGCGTGCTNTCCGTAAGCTTCGACAAGCATTCGATGAGATTCTATCGCCGATTTACCCAAATAAAAGCAGAAAATTAATGCTCCCCGCAAATCGTTGTTTGAAGGAACGTATTTCGACATTTTCAAGAGCGAAAAAAAACACGATGTTGTATGAAACTTGAAATGTTTGGTACTGAATATTGTTCACACATGACAATACGCCAAGTAGCGCCAATGGTAAGTTTTGATAGTTCCGACAACTGTGCCTACTGACCGCTAGATGGGAATACCGATTTCATATGTATAGACCTGGTATTGTTACGTCCTGGAGACTCCACAATCCCCTTGTTTCCTGCGACGCGACGCGCCAGCGCATAGCAACCCTTTTCTTTTGGTCAATAATAATAAATAATTCAATCGGGTCTCCTATCGTTTGGAAACTTAAAACTTCAGACGATAGGAGAACAAACAAAAACCATATCGGCGCCCGGAAAGATAAACTGCGCCTAGCAATAACACGAAATTTTAGATAACTATTCGAGCAGCTTTCCAAACAAACCCGGATATCTCCGGGTCATAAAAATGCCGGTCATAAAAATTAGAGCGACCGGCGCAAATAAAAACTCCGGCATTTTTATTACAAACAAACAACAAGGGGTCTATGCGGCGTGATCGCAAAAGACAACACTCTCCCTTTTTCCTTCCCCGGAAAATCGGACGAGGCGACCGAAGCGAGAGATCGTCGCC